TGACTCACAATAACACGTGTAATTATATAAATAAAGTCATTGTTTATAGCACTACAGCTCTACACCGAAGCGAAGCGAGGGCGGGCCACTAGTTTATTATATAACTCTGTTTCGACAACGTATCAGGGCAGGCGCCATAGTAGACATTATTATATTCAAGTAGACCTTTCAAATGATATGTAACACATCTCTATTGGAGCGGATACCAAGTTCCATACATTTTTGCCCATCATCCTTTAGTAAAACCCATTTTTACGAAGATGTACTATTTATATTTAAATACATTATATTTTTGTTTATACAAAAATAAAACATAATTTTTCTGTACTTATATACAGAAAATTATAACAATTCACCTTAAATTAAGTCAAAATGGGAAGATATCAAAAAAAGACCCCGACCACACGGATACGCGTCTCAAAAATGAGCCTTTTAAATTAGCTGCATGCACAAAATTGGCTGTAGTCGCAATTTGTCAAATAATATTGCGGATATTTTTTACTTGTTTTAAAAGATAAAATAATGCCTTTTTAAATTTTAGTAGGATATGTTTGAAATCAAATAAAAACTGTTGGTTGTATACTCATGACATCTGTTATTGTATACGATGAAATAAATAGTTTTTATTTATTTTTTTCCATTTCCATAGCTGACAAACTTATCGATAAACTTACGGGTTGAGACATGAGCTGCGTCTGCGTCACTAGCAATACACGTGCCGGTGTGAGACCGGGATAGCATATATGATGTAGCGCATGCGAGAAAGGGACAATATACAAAGACAACAACGCGTTCACCAAAAAATAAATACAATTAACAGCAATTTAATATAAGAGTATTTTTGTCTTTTTGTAATGTATTTAAACTTACTGGTGAAAAGTAATACTATATTTTTGAAGACTGGAAGTTTTACTCTACTTTCCACACAATTGAATTGCATAGTAAGGCATTTTTTACAGTTATTTAACACGAAAACGAGAGAAGCAGTGCGACCGACACTCGGTTACCAAATGAAATAATGTATCGCGACGTCTGTGGGCGTGCCTCACGCATAGGTAAAATACTACTTAAGCTTGGCGTAAGCGCTTGCCTTGTATGCGGACTCTAGTGGGGGTGCTCCATGTGTCCACTTGAGTCACTTTGTTGCTTAATCCAAAGCCGTCATCGAAAATCTGATATCTATGATACTTTTCAAAATACTGACCGCGGAGAAAACAGTTTTCAAAATCAGCAAAAAATGGCGGCTGGACCCATGTGACCTAGTAATAGTGCATGATTATTCATAAGTCATAACTACTCCGAGGTAATGCAGAGATGAGATGAGATTCTGATTAATGGCTTTTCTCACACAGTTTTAATAAATAAATATTATTAAAATTCGGTTGTTTATTCTCCTCAATCTTAGGAAATAAATTTTATTAACAAAATCTGATGTTTTTTCTCGCTTAGCAAATAAGTTTTATTCAATAAACTTTCTAGCTCGCTCTACCTGTTTGGTTTGAATTGACAGCTATGGCGTCACAATATGGCGCCCTGTTCGTCCTATTCTTAGTTGAATCGCATTTTAAGTGACCTAGTAATAGTGCATGATTATTAATAACTACTCCGGCGGTAATGCAGAGATGAGCGGAATAGAAGAGCTAGATTCTGAATAATGTTTTTTCTCAGTCTTAATAAATAAATATTATTAAAAATCGTTGGGTTTTTTTTCTCAATCTTAGTAAATAAGTTTTATTATATGGCGCCCAGTCGGTCCTATTCTTAGTTGAATCGCTCGCACTATACACGAATTTATTGCCTTTGTTCCCAACGAGTCGTGTGACTCGACAGTGTAACAGGTTACAGTGGTAACCTGTTACGCTGTGACTCGTTGGGAGAACTTTGTAAAATAAATACCAACCAGTCACACATGTAACATGTTGGGATACCTTTCTTAATATAATTTCCAACCAGTCACACTGTGACACGTTGGGCGACCCTTTCGAAATTATTCCCAACCAGTCACACTGTGAATCGTTAGACCAATCTACTCTTAGGTGTTGGTTATGTTACGTCTGTATGTATGTCTGAGGTGTATGTTACGTCTTAGCCCTAATTTCACTAAATAATCAGCTACACTGCTACTTTTGCTGTAATAAAAGGAAGGCAACCTTTTTTCCTATTATTGCTTACGATAAATTCGTGTTTGGTGCTTAATTACAGGCTATTGAAATATTGGTGGTTTTCCAATTACAGAGCATAATGCGACTCAGTGGCGCACAATGCCGAATTATGCTGATGCTTAATTTCAACAATAAATTATATTACTAACGATAACATATAAATAAAACATTTCGATCAATGCCAACTTAAAGAAAAAACACTTGTTAATTTTCTGTCTCTGAGTTGGTACGATTGCATGCATCACACGAAAGCATTAAAGGCTACCATTCACAGGCGCGCCCATCCGCCGGATTTGTCGCTGGCGACAAGTCCGCGGACAAATCCGCGTGTGAATGTATTGGTGAGTGCGCAGCGGCTCGCGGCTCAGCGCGGCGCTGGCCGTCGAGAGACGCCAGCGCCGCGCCGCACCCCAGCCGCGCCGTACAAATCCGTACGTGTGTGTGCTTGCACAGATTTATCGGTGAACTTGGCAGTCATTTGTAGTGCGTGCACGCAGAACGATCTCTTAACTTGTTAATTCTGTATCACTTTTTTGACGTTTATGCGATACCGTTTTAAGTCAAAAAGTTGAACATAATACTCATTTAAGTTGATATCAAGTTAATATCATTTTAAAGAGTTGATCATAATACACTTAATTTGATGTCATTTTGATATCGCATTTTTCGGAGAGCTTAATACGTAATGTGAAATTGACATCAAAACAATATCACAATTAGCGAACATAAAGAGCTAATTGTATCTCTTATACGCATGTCCTCGGCACGAGCTCGTTCTAAATAGTCCATTACTAACCCGAAACGAGCCATTTTACTCTTTTTATTAAAAAAAAAGGAATTTGATACAGAAGAACCACCTAACTTGTTAAGTCTGTATCACATTTTTGACGTTTATGCGATACTGTTTTATGTCAAACAGTTGAACGTAATACGCATTTAAGTTCCGTGGTTGATATCATTTTAAAGTTGATGTCATTTTGATATCGCATTTTTCGGAGAGCATAATGCGTAATGTGAAATTGACATCAAAACAATATCACAATTAGCGAGCATAATTGGCCTGCAGTTGTGTTGTTTGTATCACGAACGAGTAAACGAGTAAAATAACATGTCGTGCGGCGATCATAAAGAGTTTTGGCAAGAATTTATCCTGCTGTTTAAAGAGAAAACTAAAGAGAAACAGGTGGTTTACAGGTCTGAATGCATTGCAGCAATTTTAAATGAGTATATTTTGATCGTTGTTTCAGCCATTCCTTTGTTCAGACGCGCTTTTTCTTTTTATTCGCCGTTAAAAGTATTGCACCGACTACTAAAGCGACTTTTGTACGTTTGGAAAGCACCGGTGGCATGGTAGGGTAGGGAAGAAAGATACGCGCGAGGCTCAACAAAGTACACAAGCGACTGGACTGCAACTCGGCGCTCGTGTAGTGTGTGGGCAATGACGGATTTGTCCACAAATGGGTACGGCTCGGGGTTCGGCTCGCGGTGCGTGTAGTGAATGGTGGGCTTTACTTTTGAGAGTGCTCAATTGTGGGAAGCGTTGCTGTAGTTGGAACACTCAACTTTAAGCATTATGCCGCTTGCTTTTAATGCGCTATAATGCTTTAATTGGAAAGCTACCATTAGCTCCTTACATATATGTAGTCACAGTGACTCGTTGGGAACAAAGGATTTATTGTAATCCACGGACCGCCACTCGCGTTACATTTTATTGCATAGCATTTAAGCTTTATCATGAATTTAAGGTTTACGGGTGAATAGTGAGATCAACTCGATGATGTTTATTGGCACCGTGGCTGTCTTTATTACTTCGGCCTGTGATTATTATTTTTACAATAATTTTATCACTCGGTTTTTCGACGCGGCCGTCAGGGCTGCGGTAGCATAATTGGTCAGTGCATTCGCCCGGATAGCGAAATCTATACGGAATAATATAACTCTCGCGTTAAACTTTAAAATCAACATTAATTGAAGGATTATTTTTATTCGACATGGTTGAAAATATTTATCGAATATGTGTTAATTATTTTTATTAGTTTAATTTAATTGTTGATTGGGTGTTATGGCTCTTTATGGTTCGTTGACGTGGGTATGTACGAATTTTTACCAAACGCGCCTTTACAAAAACTTAATCATTGACAGCTAAAGAGCTGTCATATTCTGCAACATTAGTACAAAACTACTATGAAGTTTGAATCGCACTATAATAAAGTTTTGTCATCCTTCCTATGAACGGCCAGTAAAAATCAACATAATAGACGACCTCCGTGGTCGAGTAGTTTGTACGTTTTCATGGTGTCGCCGACTCGAGGTCCCGGGTTCGAATCCCGGTGGGCGCAATGTTAGTGTGATGAATACGAGAATTTGTACTCCAGTTATGGATGTTTAATATGTATTTCTATATAAATATACTTATATAGGTAGTGTATATGTATTCTATCCGTTCCCATAGTATCCAATAACACAAGCCTTACAGCGCTTACTTCGAGGCTAGGCTAATTGGTGTGAGCGTTGGAATGGATATATTTATTAAAATGGATTGAGGTGGCGGCGCTGCATGACGTTGTGTTGTACACTGTACTGTCTGTCTATACTTACTAAATACACCTCATCTAAGTACTAATGCGAAAAATTCTACATTGATTAATAAAAAGGCAGGAAATAAAACCATTATGTCATCCATCTTAAATGTAATGTCACATTATGATCACTAAAACAAGTATAGTAAGTTTTGAAAGCCTTACAAAACAATTATCAGGAATGATATACACTGCAAATTAAAAATTAAACAAAAATCTGTAAGTTGTTCAATAAATGTCTGTTAATAAGGTGTGAAACCTAATTGGATTTCTTGGAATCTTTGGATGGTGAACGTGATCTTGACCGTGACATGGAACGCCCCTTGGAACGTGAACGCGAGCGGGAACGGCTACGGGAGCGAGATCCGGAGCGCGGCGAGCGAGAACGAGAGCGACGGCGGGACCTGGATCGGCTGTAAACATAATAACAAAAAAGTTTAAAGAGGTATCTTTTCATTTTATTCCAGCGGTCGTCTTTAGCACCGCTTTACAACAGAATTGCAGAGTGGCCGGCCGCGACGATCACTTTTTTTACTGAAAAGGATTTGAGATAGTTTTAAACTTTATCTACACATTAAAGACCAGCATAGCACGCGCATTCCCGCCCGACACAGCGGAAGCTTTTCAAGCGATAAAGGTCTTAACGACGTGAAGATAAAGTTGAAAATTATTTCACAGCACTTTTAGTGAGAAAGCGCCGCCTCGTCGCTGCCATTCCAGTGTGAATTGAACTTTAATCAACAAATATTGAGTCTTCATGTTGGATGTAAAAATCAGTGAATCAAAACATAAGTAGATACTTTAAAGTTTGATATTTATTAAACTCGAAAACTAACTCTGGTTAAAGGCATAGCAGAGAATTCCCTATGTTTCACATAGGCTTCCTTCCAACATTTTACTGGTTTCAGTAGAATCTAAGACCCAGTCTCCTGGACCACTTTGAAATCACTGACTCCAAGAGTTAAACTGAAAAGTAGTTGTGTGTGCAGTCCGCCTGCAAACCTAAAAACTAGTTTCGTTAGCAGAAGTGTGCAGTTACTGCAAAATCTGCCAGTGAGTTGTTAACATTTGATTCTACAATTTTTCCAACCAATTAATTAAGCACTTTCTGATATAGTCTGCAATTTGAGAAAAGGTGTCTATATAATATGGATTTAAGTTTATAATGCGTTAAAAAAACGCACTCCGGTCACAACATGCTATTGTACAAGATGTTAAACTACACCATTACATAGTTATTGTGCACCATGAAATTATGTTCAACTGCAATAAGATTTAAAAATACAAATTAAGTGATTTGAATAATGTTAAATTTCAATTTTCTTTTGTACCAAGTAGTTCCTTTAATACTGTTTTTATTATATTCTCAAACATTTTGATGGTTATATTAGTTTAGTAGTTTCCAGAGCTCATTTCGTAATTTTTACATTATAATATGTTTTGTAAACCTATGAAATACGATTGTTTAAAAGTCAACGGGATCTTGAAACATTTAATTCAGTTATTTTGAAATTAAACTACTTGAAGCAAGAAATAATTGAAAGTAGCCCAGCCATGTCTTTCTTCAACATCTTGCTGAATACCTTTTATTGTAATGTGACTGAAATTTGTAAATATATTTATTATTAATATCAAATTACACTGCATATTAAGATATATGTATTGAATTTCAACAAGCAGCCCTCCAGTTGAATTGAAAAAAAAAAGAATATTCACAGATACAGGACAATTTCAGACCCTAAGTTCAAGTACTAGAATGTTCTTTTTTATTTAACAGCAGCATTAAAACAGTTTCAGTTTGTGAAATCAAATAATATAAATAAAATCTTACTAATACCTATAAGAAGCATTCACTTCATATTGTTATTGCACACCTCTGTTATGATATGAATTTGATTTTAGTTGGTTTTCCTAAAATTTTATGTTGGTATTCTGCAATAATAGTCATCAAAGTCTTTGCCCTGTACAAACGAACTAAAGCGAAAGTAAACAAGAAGTAAAACAAAACCGAATAAAATATAGATCTCGTAAGCCTTGTCATGATCATAGAAATTAGGTGGAGCCACTATGGAGCTCAGTCTTGCAAGGCACCAAAACATTACAGTTCAAATTAGAAAATTCAGCTAAGCTCCTTTCAATAAAAACAGGGTTCAGATCAGGGTCTGAAATTTTGACTGAGAGATCACTGTAATGCCTCCAAAAATCAATGAGGACACACATAAAACACAAAATGAATTATGTATTAATAAATCCATGTGTAAACTAATAAAATTTACCAAAAACTTACTTTCTATAATCTTTATGAGTTTCAATCTACCATCTTCAAGAAAATTAAAAACTATGTCATCTCAAAACGATAGCAGGCCTTCAAGGTACACAAATACTGGATAATAATGTGTAACTCACTGAGTGCACGCAGTGATTACAATAGACGTGCGTCACGACGCGCATAACATAAATTATGCTCAATGCAGTTCTCGACAAGTGAAGTGTGCACGTAGGCTGTCACTATGTAGTTCGCAGAGCGAAGTTACCGATGTGGGCAACTCTAGCGGAGTACACGCCGCGAAGTGAAAGCTACGTAGCGCAGACAATAAGGAGTGCAGACACTGACGAGTTCATTCTCGGCGCACAGGCCAATGATAACCTATAACATAGTTATCATTGGTATAAGTGAGTCAAAAACAAGAGTGATGAAACCTTTTGCCATAGAAAAGAAATACCATTATTTTAGAAAAATTACATGGTATAGCAAAAGATATCAGTTTGTCAGTTCAGTTTTTTCACACATATTAGACATTGGCTCAAAGATAATAAAAAATAACCTGCGCCGGCGTCGGCGGGTGCAATCGCGAGCATAGTGGCCCCTGTCACCGCAGTCATAGCAGCGATCGTCATATGGTCTCGGCGGCAATCGGGAACGAGGAGGTGGCCCTCTGCCTCCATATCCGCGGCTTCCATTTGACATTTCAACACGGGCACGGCGGCCGCATATTGTTCTGCCATCTAACCCCCGAATCTAAACAATAAGAATAAAACTTTAATGCCTATTTCTGAAACTACCACGATGCACATTAACAGAAAATATAGACTAAATATAAGACTAGATAAAATATAATAATAGAAACTTGCTAGGACACAATACTTACAGCATCTTCGGCGTCTCGAGGATCTTCAAACTCCACAAAAGCAAAGCCGGGTGGATTACGAGCAACCCAAACATTTCTCAACGGTCCATAATACGAAAATGCATCTTCTAGTTCAGGCTTACTGGCGTTATTGCCTAAATCACCGACATAAACTTTACAATCACCGTATCTTGACATATTAACTGTAATAAAATAAGTAGATACAATATTATACTCCAAAGATATCTTCCATTGAAAAATGAACGCAATAGATCACATCATAACCATAAAGACGTACCTTTAGATTAAAACTAATATAAACTTATAAACCTGTCATTTATGTCTACTTTATACTGAATTATAACTTTAAATAAAACGAGCTTCGTTTAATTCCATAAAATAATTATTACCACCAAATGGTACCGACAAACAGCAACGAAGAAGAGAAAATGGCGGAGTGGCGTGGCTTGCTGGCTAGACCATAGACCATGTGTTAGAGCTGAGGTTGAGGTTAGATTCAGATTAGTACCGGAGTTCATAGACTAATGCGCTTACCACACGCACAAGCTTCACCACAGTTTGGCCTGCGCAAGCATCTCGCACGAAAAAACTGTACACTTTGTGCGTTACCACACGGCACAGTTAAGTACGCGCAAGCCTCATTCTTATCGAAATCATTGGCGTGGAAACAATGTTTTCTAATGAAGAAACATTTCTTATGCTATTATTTTTCAAGTGTTTGCTATTAAAAAAAACATGAAAAAAACGATAGGATATGTACATAATATGTGCAAGTAGGTAGGTAGTAGGTATTAGGCATAGGTATTTAGTTGCAAAAATTATGTTTTTACCTCTTTCATTTTATTTATCATTTTTTCGTAGTCGTCGTTCTTTTTATTTCGGTCGGAATAATCTTTAGATATTATAATTTTCCAGAGTGCAGGCAGAGATTTGTATTAACTAATTAATTCAGACGTGAATTCGCGATTGTACGTACGCAAATCTACCATTTTTGTGTGACGATGACGAACGACCTCATGAAACGACGAGCGAGCCTCGACACAAAGTACACTCGACTGTGGCTTGAACACTGAACGCCCAACCACACGCACAGACAAGTACGCGCAGGCCGGGCTTGCGCAGGCAAAATTTCAAGCAAGTCGAAAATTGCGCAGGCCGCGCTGTGGGGTTGGCGCGTGATACAGTTTTACCAACTACACGCACCGTGTTCCGTGTACAAACCGGCCTGCGCAGGCAAAACTGTGGTGAAGCTCGTGCGTGTGGTAGGCCTATAAAGTTAAATCAACTCTGATTTAGTAAATTGATTGGGAAAAATACTCCGTTTTAGCCATCGCGTCACTCGTGTTGCTCTATAGTATCAATCTTTCTCTCTTGCTATGCTCAGTGAATGGAGCAAGAAAGCGTATTTAAGTAATTTACGGTTAGACAGTGGCGCCCTCCCTGAACTGTAAAATATAAACTAATAACTTAATAAATTATTAAATATATGTTTTTATTGTGTATGACCTATATTATGGTTAAATTTTATTGAAATCCATTCAGTTTTCAAAGATCCATATAATCGTAAGATTGAAATTAAAAGCGCAAGTTAATATACAACTTTAAATCGATGTAGATCCTAAACAATCACATAAAGTGAAAAATGGTAGGAGGAACCTAAACATAATTTTAGATTATCTAGACAATGATTCCCAACGTAACATATTTCGTCACTTATTTTTTTTCTGTCTCACTATATAACGCCTAATTGTCCCAATATTGAATTTCTTTTACTATCATAACTTTAGTAGTACCTACTCCCATGATTAAGACGAATCGATTGACGTATGAATCATCAAAATCAATACACCAACACAAACAAAATCGTACTCGAAACCTGTCCAAAAGGTACATTGAACGATCCAAGGAGCTCCGTAAGATGATCGCATAGGCAAAATCAATATAGGGCATTGGTGTCGATTCTAGCATGATTCTCTAAACCTAAACTTCATGACTGAATCACGCCAGAATTGGTACCATTATTTATATATTGAAAGTAACCTTTAATACATACTATATAAGGTCTTAAATAAAATGCATGCGTCAAGGACTTCTGACAGTTCAAAAATTTCAAGCTCGTAAAATTTTACGACTTATTGCTATATGTGGAAGAATTTAGGCCTTAGTTCTTTGACTCTACGCGCAATTCTGAACTCGCTGTTAGCAATAGCAGGCACTGACCGCAAGGAAAAGAGACGGCTATATGGCGACGTATAACCGACCATGCATTTGAATATCACAAATATTTTATATTAAATCAGTTTATAGTAAGTATTACATCAAAATTTACTTCAAATGCGTTAAATTAACAAACATTGACAAGATACATGTCGAACTCAGACCAAATAAAAAGTATAGACGGAGTCTGCCGAACCAAAATGTGAAGCCGATAAAACTACGCCTCGCCGTGTACATACACAGTTACACGCACACACATGCAACGAAACTACGCCTTGGCTTCTCAGTCGAGCTATCCCGACGCGCGGAGTGTGACGTAATAATAAATAACAATATTTATTAGAGAAAATGCCGAATTGTGTAGTGAAAACGTGTAAAAACCAATCTTCCAAGAATAAAAAACAGGATGGAATCACATTTCATACGTAAGTAAAGTTATAAACTGCTATTTTCAATTAATCAAAATCAAATTTCAGGTTGTCGCTTTGTAAACAAAACCTGAACGAAATGTTGCCATGATTATTCGTTACAGTTTTACCCTTTTGTTGGGTAGCGTGAAATATAACGTAACGTTATTTTATTAAATACATTGTGAGGCATACTTTTATATTAATCGAATATTGTAATGCATGGATAAACAATTACACGAAACATCTTTTTTCTTTATATATTCGTATAAATTTTTTGGGATGTAATACACATTATATATTATAGGTTTTTTTTAAGATTTCCTAATCGAGATCAAGATCGAAAAGAGAAGTGGATTGCAGTCATTCGTAAGAGTAGAAATGAATCATTGTGGCAACCAGCTTCCCGCAGCGTGGTTTGTTCGACTCATTTTCAGAGCGACGATTTGTACTACACAACAAAAGGGTTACGTCGTGTAAAACAAACATCCAAAGGTATTTTTTTTACTATTAATATGGTTACTTAGATTAATTTATATTTTAAAGATTCCAAATAATTTATTTGCTAACTGCTTATTGTTTGTACAAGTCCCACCATCTATCATGTTGTGGTAGAACTACTTGCTTCAGTTTCCCCATTTTGCCGTATTATGTTACTAAATTAAAGCGAACTTACTTGAATTAAGTATCATTGTTCAATAAAAGTATTAGTACAATAGTAAAAATAATGTTAATTTGGTACTCAGCTAATTTTAAACTCAACCTTGATCGCAACTGTGCACACTAGAAAAATGCCTCATCTAATGTGCACACCGTTTTAAGATGCATCTACTTTTTAATGGCCTTTTTGACCCAAAATTCGCGATGTTTGTGGATTTATTTTATTATGTTCTTGTATAGAAACTAGTGATTATATTTTGTGTATTCTATAGAAAATTTCATGTACATTTTAATAAAAGAAACTCAACATTTGTATATGCTTTTCGTTTTATCGACATAAAGTTGAGATGACTGATTTGTAAGCGATTTCAAGTGCCTTGTTGCGAGTGCTTGAAACTATAAAATGAACAAACCTATTCCATCCGAGACTTGTAACTAAAAGTGTCTACACACGTCCCTTAAATCAGAGGTGATATCGGGAGAGGCGATATCGGATGATGGTGGGGATGAAATCGGCTACTATTCTACACACGTCCCTGCCAATCAGTACGTAGCCCACCGTGCAACATAACGCTCGTCGATCCAAGATGCCGCCCACACTTTCAAAACAACAAAAAATAGACATCGCTCTGGCACTTAATACGGTGCGACCAAAACAAAAACTAAAGGGGAAGACTTGGGTTAAGAGGTGGTTGATGAAACGCCATGAATTCAGTCATATGAACGTTATAAGACATTTAGAACCAGTTGATTTGAAAAACTTTTTAAGAATGGATATTGAATGTTTTGAAGAGCTACTGAATTTGGTGACACCATTAATACAAAAACAAAATACCTTATGCGAGAATCCATAAGTCCAAGAGAACGACTTATAGTTACTTTACGTTTCCTGGCTACTGGACAAAGCTATGAGGATTTAAATTTTTTGTTTTCAAGTTTCATCTTAAAATCGGCCATCGTATTGTCTTTACCGACCTTTTCATTATATACTTGTAATAACATTTTAAAGGCCTCCTGCCTCATGTCACGATTAAGATAATCGTTGTGTTTCTTATCCCATAAATACGCCAACTCTTTATAAATATCTATGGTTTTCGTCCAGGCCTCTCGCTCCTTTTCTTTCGCCATACCTCCGCACGAATATTTATGGACATAAAACCAACACGCGTCCTCTTCGCACTACGCTCGCACGAGCACTGCGTTGAAATCGGACCCGATTTCACTACACACGCACTGACAACGCTCCCTAGATGATAATCGGCCCTAAATCGTGAGCTCGCCTGTTCCAATTTCTGAGTTAGGGGTAATAATAATAATGATGATTACGATTTGCCTACACACGAGGCGATCTAGGGAGCGATTTAGGGTGCTCCCCACCACTTTCCCGAGATTGCCTCTGATTTAAGGGACGTGTGTAGACACTTTAAAGTAAAATAAACAATCCAATATAATTAAACGTCAACACATAAATCAAGGCACTTGGATCTCGCATTTGTTTTTATCAACACTTGGAACACGACCCTTTTCTTCTGTTGCGTGTTATATTTTATAATTGTATTTGGTAAGTTATTATATACATTCATTTATATATAGTACATTGTATATGTACAAAAACCTGGATTTATAATTTACAAATTTTGAAAATATACCTCATTTTACCTATTTAAACGACTTTTTTTCTTTCCTGAGTACCATAATGTAATTAAAATAAATTATAGGCATGACGCATTGTGTACACACTGTTTTATTGAAAATTTTATGGAGAATCCAAATATACGTTTGTGAAGGGTATTTTTACAAAATAACAGAGAAATCGGCAGAACAATGCAATCGTTCCCACCCAGCGGGCGGGTGGTCCATAAAGAAGTCCGGCACTTGTAGGTGAGAACGGCGCATGACCTTTGGCTCACGAGAGGTTTAGAGAATAAGCTTACGATTTTTTTTTCTAATATTTTATAACGTTATTTCATAACGTTATTACATTTTTCTAATATTGGGGTGTTTTATATGACTATGGTAACACTGGCTAATGCACTACATACATAAAAAACCGGCTTCACTTTTTGGTTCGGCAGACTCCGTCTTTACTTTTTATTTGGTCTCAGATGTCGAAAAAACGACACTTTTCGTACACTAAGTATTATTTTTGCATTTTTTCGCGGAGCTCTGTGGCATCTTGACTTTGTAACGATCCGAGCGTGACTGTGAACCAAGAAGTGCTTGACAGCGTTGCCACCTTGGATTTTTTTAAGGCGCCTAGGCAAAGGTAAAATATCGCCAGATTTCAAAAATTTGGATTTAATAAAATACACCAAAATCCGCTAAATTACAATTACATCTCAGACAACAAAAAACCTTTTTCTTTTTTTTACGATGGGAAATGCATTACGCATACCGCGCGCTTTGGGGTACGCGGGGTTATATCGGACTCTCCGCGGCTTCTGGGGGCAGACAGAATGCCCCCCAGAAGGTGCAGTACCGCGGCCTACCGACTAAAACCCACCGATGCCCCTCATATACGCCTTGGCGCGAGCACGCTCATCACCGCCGCATCCTCATCGTCGTCTGACGAAGTGGACACGTCGGGGAGGGACGCGTCGCTGCCGGACAAGGTCATGGGAACTCGTGAGAACACATCCACGACCTCGTCGGCGTCTGCTCGCCTATAGCAAGCCCCACTCACCCCCCCAAAATGGGAGGGCCGGTGATCCCCCGGGGCATCCAGGGGATCAGCGACTGGCGGCAACCGGTGCAATGCAGGGCCCGGGCTTCCCGGGCCTGGACCCCGCAGGTTGCCGTCAGGAATCGCTGACCTGCGTGCCACCAGTATGAGGGCCAGGCGCGCCTCAAGTACACCTGACGACGAGGCGGAATGTCGTCGGGTGTACAAGGAGGCCAAGAAGGCGCTGAGGGTGGCCATCATCATGGCCAAGAGGGCGTCCTGGGAGAGCTTTATAGCTCTCCTAGACCAGGACCCCTGGGGGCGGCCCTACAAGGTGGTGCGGGGGAAATTCGCCAACAACGCCCCCCCCCCCCACCTCAGCCATGGAGGAAGGGCTGCTGGACCGGGTACTGGGGACTCTGTTCCCCGACCCGGGTCCATTCCAGCCCCCAAGAATGCTCCCTCCTGGGGGCCCCTCCGAGTTGCCGATCCCACCCCCCCCTCCCGTGTCGGACGCGGAGTTCGATGCGGTGAGGGACAGGCTCCGGGCCAAAAAGACGGCGCCCGGGCCGGACGGGGTCCCACCTAAGGTGTTGGCCTTAGCCTTGGGGCCCCTAAGGAGGCGGTTCCGGTTAATGAGGCGGAGGCGGTTAATGATGCCGGGAAATTCCTAGAGAAGATCCTGGCGGTGAGAATCGTCGAGCACCTGGAGGGGCCGGGCCCGAACCTGGCCGAACGTCAGTTCGGGTTCAGGCGCAACTGGTCCACAATGGAGGCGGTGGACCTTTTAAAGGGGTGGACCGAGGCGGCCACTGCGCGGGGTGAGGCTGTTATTGCGGTGTCGTTAGACATCCGCAACGCATTTAACAGCCTCCCCCACGAGTGCATTATGGAGGCACTAGGTTTCACCCAGTGCCTCCATACCTGTGTGCCATTGTAGAGGACTACCTACAAGGTAGGGTGGTCCTCTACGAGGGGCCCGACGGGCGTATCCACTCGCGGGCCATGGCCGCAGGTGTGCCCCAGGGTTCAGTGCTGGGTCCACTGCTCTGGAACCTGGGGTACAACTGGGTGCTGCGAGGCAGCCTCCTTCCGGGAATGGAGGTTGTCTGCTTCGCCGACGACACTCTTGTCGCGGCGAAGGCAAAGGAGGTGGAGGATGTGGTGCATCTAACGTCGGTCGGCACCACGATGGTCGTCCGACGCATCCACCTCCTGTGCCTGGAAGTGGCCCTCGACAAATCGAGGGCCATGATGTTTCATGGCCCACGCCGCAGCACCCCTCCGGGGCTCCGTATCCGGGTGGAAGGGGTCCGAATACCGGTCGAGGGAAGCATGAAGTACCTCGGCCTGGTATTGGATCCCCGATGGAGTTTTGAGGAGCATTTTAAGCTCCTCACTCCACGGCTGTGTGCCGCTGCAGCCGCACTCGGCAGGGTCCTCCCGAATGTGGGGGGACCAGGTGCTGCGTGCCGTCGACTGTATCACGGGGTGATACGGTCGATGGCACTTTACGGAGCTCCGGTTTGGGCTGAGTGCCTCAAACCCCGCACGAGGGCCCTCTTGCGACGTCCGCAGAGGGTCATCGCGACCCGGGCCGTGCGAGCGTACCGCACGGTCAGCCACGGCGCTGCCTGCGTGCTCGCAGGCGTGACGCCGTGGGACCTCGATGCCCAGGTTCTGGCAGAAATGCATCGGGGTCGGGTCGAAGCCAGGGTGCGGGATGAAAGACTTGCCCCAGCAGAGTTGCGGCAAGTCCGTTCCGGGATGAGGCACTCGCCCATGTTAGCGCCGGCCACCGGACGATAGAAGTCATTCGTCCGGTGTTGGAGGAATGGTTGGGTCGCCGGCGCGGCGGCCTCACGTTCCGCATGGTGCAGATCTTGACCGGGCATGGATGCTTCGGTCACTATCTGCACCGTGTCGCACGTCGGGAGGAGACGCCGCAATGTCATCATTGCGGCGCCCCGGACGACACGGCCGAGCACACCTTATTGGAGTGCCCGGCCTGGCGACACCAGCACCGCGAGCTCATAGCGGCGCTGGGATGCGGAGCCCTCTCGCTGCCGAGCATGGTAGAGGCCATGCTCCGCAGCGACAGGGCGTGGGAGGCGGCTGAGAGGGAGCGGGAGGATGATCCTCTGGCCGTTCCCTCCCGCCAAAGGAGGACGGGTAGGAGAGGACGGCGGCGCGCCCTGGCTGCGCCCGTCCCATGACCCTACCCGGGGGGTCCCTCGCTGACCGGCATGGCGCTGGCCATGCCGGCCACCGACGGACCCCGTGACGGCAGCCCCCCCTTGTAGGTCTGTCCTACAAAGAGGGGGGCGGCGGAGGGAGCTACACGGGCACGCCTAAGTAGCCCTCCGCAGCGGACGAGGGGCGGTACGGTGGGCACTAGGCCGCGTACTCAACCCCCACGCGCGGGCCTACCCGCGCACGTCTGCCGTGGAGCCCCGGCTAGACCGGGAGGCTGCTAGGTGCGGAGACGCGGAAGAATCCCTAAACGGGGATCCCGCAGCTCCGTGCTAAGCAGCTTAGAGGGTATTCGCAGGACTTTTTTAGCGGATATTATACCGTAAAGCGCCCTTAAGAGTTGCGAGGTCCTTGGTGGGCAGCCACTGGGGGGTTCGTAAGACTTGCGGGAGCCAGGTATGAGGTCCGTTCGGCGGTGTGCCTCTTAAAGGCGCCGTCGTCTGTAAATAGATTTTTTACCTGCGTATTAAAAAAAAAAAAAAGGTTGCCGTCAGGAGGAATTAGGCGGGCGTACGTCCGCCTCCTCCGCCCTAACCTTCGGCGGCGGCAAGGAGCGGCCTCTGGGTGTTCTTCCCGGGCCCTCTCCGCGTCCTCCTTTTGCGTCATGACGTCGATACAGAAGGAGTTCACCGCGTCCCACATGTCCTCCCCCTCCAACATGACGCAGACCACGTTTTGGAGGGAGAGATCCTCGCCTATGATGGCGGTTAACTCTTGCCGCCGCTGGGAGAAGCCCGTGCACACCTCCAGACAACAAAAAACCCTAATTTAAATAAAAACCAGTGAATATGTATGAAATCCTACAGAAATAACTGTGTCCCGCAGTCGTTCTCAATTAGTAAAATTTAGTTCTAAATTACTAAAATTTATTAAAAATGGAAATATTGTTTTTACTAACTTATAACTTTTCCGAGCGTTACCTTAGTAGTACTAGAGAATAATGAAATAAAACCAGGTAAATATGTATTTACATTCATTCTTTATAATCAAGAAATAAATATCGATATCGTTTGATTGCCGGATAGAATTTGCAGTTTTTGTTTGTACTTTTTTGTTTCAGCATGTCTTCTCAAATTTACTACTTTTGCTAATAATTCTGCTTTACAAAATGAACAAAACACCTTCGCATCAACACCTGCTAAAGGTTTAAGACAGGTTTGGAATTCGTCGAGTGATGCCCATTCTTTTCTATACTTTTGTAAGTAATTCTTGAATAGAATTTCTATAATAACATATTATTGAATACTCTAAACATACAGCTTCAGGAGTTCACACACTGTTAATGTTGATTTGATAGAAACGTTTGTTCCTATCAAATCAAACTTTTTAATGAATGTGAACCTAATTTCTGAAACAGAATGAACGATTAAAGGAAGCCCTTAACAGACAAACGCGTGTAGGAATTCCCCTGTCACAGAGTAAGCATAGAACATTATGAAATTCCGGAAAGTTGGGAGATTTCCCCCTTAAAAATATGTTGCTAGATTTCATGTTAAAAAACCACTAAAAAACACTAACACCCATATTCTTAATCGCGTCCTCTAACGTTCCTCGACTCAAACTCATTCGAGGGCTCCTTAAGGAGTTCCTCCAAATAACCTCGAAAATGGTATTCTAGTTGGTATCTTGAACAAACTTGAGAATTCCTCCACCGAGAATTCCTCAACATTGTGACGTCATCATTTGGAGGATTTTATTTCTATAATGGTTAACAGAGGAAATATTACTTGTATGACTGTATCTTTTCTAAACCGAAATCTTCTTTGAAACCAATCATTGTCGTAAACCTTAAAAGGATTTGCGGCATCACGTAAATACCGTCGCGCCGGATAATTATATGGTTAATCATCGTGTATGTGTTACTGAATAAATAAATATATAAATCGTATACTTAATCCATAAAATCCACAAATTCGTCAATAATCTCAAAATCAGACATAATTCTCGATAAAAGCAACTTGAAAACACCACTCGAGGAAGCCTTAAGGTACGTCGAGAGCTACCTTGAGTTTGACAGTTTATTCCTCGACTCGACCTCCACTTGAGTGAGGAATATCTCAAGTGAAGGATATTTTTGTTGTCTAAGCATACGAATTTCCTCCAATGAGGTTGAGTCGAGTGGAAAAAATCTCGAGGAAACGACTAAGAATATGGGTGTAAAAAAATATACCCGCCAGATCATGAAAATATACCACTAAAAGCCGTGAAAAAGCACCAGTTCTGGTGGAAAAACCGCCAAGGTGGCAACACTGGTGCTTGAGTGGAGTTCAAGCACTTCTTGATTGGGACACATTTTGAGCGTTCGTGGTGTATCTAGGGTATTTAATATCGTTGGTTTGGGCTCTATTGCTCCACAAAGGAACATCATACTATACTGTTTAACACTATACCCTGTCTTCGCGTCGCGCTCTTGAATTGCGCAGTCATTAAAGCGTGGGTATTGAACGCACCCCTGGGGACGTGACGTAGACGAAATCTCGGAAATTTAAAATAGGTAGTGCATACACTTGCAGTCATATCATCATTTATACTGCACGTATTAACATGAAATATAACATACGTTATATAGTCTATACTTTGATGTTAGGTACATTCAAGTGTAACATTTTGACCTTTTGGTTGCTTCTTTCCAATGGTACCTTTATCCGCTATGCCGCCCATCTTTAATTAAAGGTATTCGCTTGCAGGTTAACTTTAATATAAATTACTTTTTATTGGTTCGTCAGTAGTATAAGTTGATGTTGATACATTAATTTTGTGTTTAAAACTAATAAAATAACCGCTAAAATGAGACAGTGACCCAACGAAACACTAAATCATTTCTCAATGAGGTCATGTAGTGCCCTAAATTAAAATAAAAAGGGTAGATACGGCACTCGCCTCTCAAAAGTGATCGGCTAAAATTGTGGTGCATGCATGTGCACTCAATATAACACTATTGCGTATATTCTGTGTTACAAACATAAAACAATGCCTTCGAAGCTTTTATAAAGAACACAAATAGTTCAAAATCAAATTACAAATGCCTCGGCAACACTTTTCATTCGTAAAACTGTAAAAAACTTTTTTCTTTTCAAAAATCACGTATTGTTGTGAATGTTTTATATGTAATCACCATTTTGTTATTAAGAAAAAGACAACAATAGTTTAGCCGTACGGACTCTGAAGCAGAGTCGCCGTTTCGCTCACGCTGCGTTGAAGCGTAGTACCCCTAGCACGAACCAATATCGAATTCGAGTAGTTTGCAAACCGAAATGTCAATGTCAAATTGTCAGGAAACTTGAACAGCAGTGCCACTTTGGACGTAACGGGAAATTGTAGTTGAGTCGGATCATATTTTATTTGATGCTTTTAGAGCGTACCTTATCCTCCCTTTTTGTTTTAATCTAAGCTAGTGCCCCACCATGTGGCTAAAATTGGATAGGGATCCAACCGGCCATGCATTTGGGCCTGAGGGATGCGACCCGCGCCGCCTACTCCCGAATTCCCCGCTGCCATAGCTTGCTGTACTAGGTACAACGCAATTAGAATTACATTCGTTGACCAACTAGTAGTATAGGTGTAGATGTAACCGTAGAAATAAAACGAAACATACTTAATCATTCACAATTTGTTTATTAACACTTAGTAAAACTACTGTTACAATGTTTTTATAAAATGGCGACATTTTGTCTTACATTACTTATGCATTCAGATTTGGCTATTTTTGACTTTTTACAAATGGTGTCAGAATACCATTGCATAAGATTAGACATTAAAACCATTGTTGAGATCATAATACGACATAATAGTACGCAAATATTTGATTTACCATCAACTTGACAACTTTCATACAGACGCAACCAGGGTTGTATTGTAAGAGAAACATGGGCTTTGCCAGCACTCGTCACATCACAGACTATAATTTCATCTCTTCTTAATAATATATAAAATAACTTTATTAGTACAATTATACAATAATCATTACAGTGCAGTAACTAAATCATCGCCTTCCCAGAGGCCCAAGCACGAATTTTTACAGCTCCATAATGGTATCGACAAATTTTGTATGGAAGGAGTCAGTTTGTTTTTACGTCCGGTAGAGGCGCTGCATAATTTTCATACAAACTTTGACAATGCAATGCAATACGATTACGTAGCTGTCAAAATTCGTGCTTTGGCCGCAGTTCTGGGGCATATCACTTCTAACGCGAAGCAAAAAAGCAAGTAATGAGGTGCTGTTCTTTAAAGCGTATTCAGTCACACTTTACCATTACTACTGCTTTTTGCTCATACTAATAGTTCCAGTTCATAAGAATTATCAGGTATATAACATAGATTTCCTGTTTTGCTATGTAGCCCGGAAATTAACTCGAATCTCATTTATCCATACACTTTACCTTAAAACTTAAGAACAAATATAAATAAATATTTTAATGGACCTGAATCTAACATGATTCTTTTAAGCCTACCTATATCAGTTGTGCTTTATAGAACATGATAAGAATTACAGTTTTAAGATTACAACTATATAAATGCCAGAACCAGACCAATTTATAAACATAAAGACTAAACCGGTATTATACTGATGTGGTTAGGGATTATATTGTCATATTCGCAAGTTTTATAAACACTGATGCGATTTTTCTCTTATAAAATAAAAAGATAACGATTAAAACTATGATTTCATCTGTGGATGTCCAAAAGTAGATACAAAATGCAATATTTCAGCTGGAATAATATCGTAGCCTTCGTAACCATGGCTACATGGACTACAAATGATTGGTCAAACATTAACATAGGTAATTCGCAAGATTTTCGAAGGCAATTAAGTGTATTAATAGTACCAATTGAAATTTATTTAATAGTCGAGGGAAAAGTGGTTTATCAGTTGGAAGTTCAAGTTGTTTTTAACTTGAACTTGCAAAATGGAAAAGCCTCTAAGTATAAATTTTATAGATCGGGGGCAAGCCATTTTCGCCTAAAAATAATTCGCCAACAGTTACCTTAAGCTGAATCCAAAAACCATACAAATTTTTCATTAGATTTCTTCTATGATGGCTCCTTCGGGATTTAACCACAACTATTAATACATCTAAATAATAAAACTTTTTTGATTGTGTAATGGAAATTAGATCGACATGTGCAAAGATTTATTTATGCAGCCCGACCAGAGCCCGTACACACGACAATATTGACCGACTGATGTAATGAATTGACATAATTGAAAAAAAAAATGTCCTTAAAACTGCACTTACCCAAAAATTGAGAATTAACGTTATTGATATTACAATATACGAAAATATTATTTTTGTTTGTTTGAAATCTTAGAGATAAAATATAATTTTATTTATTATTATTCATATAGTTTTGTTGAATAGAGAAAATAATCGTTTGTTACTTTAAGACTAGACAGTTCTCGTAATAGTAAAAAGATATTGTATTTTTGTAAAATATAATTTTCATGTTCAATATGATCAAGAAATTGATTTTTTTTATAGTGACTCTAAAGAAATAAAAATATCTTATTATTATAAAAAGCCATTATTATGCGTTTGTTTGTTCAAGTAGCATTTCGCCTAATCAATAGTTATAGCCATGCGGTTACAATTTTTTTACATTAAAAAAAGTCTATCTAAGTCTAAAGACTAACTATAAAAGATATTGAAAAGATTTCCAAAATTCCAATTGAACATTTAGTACCTTTTTCCTGTCTTGTGGATTTACATAGGTAGGTGTTTTTTATTATTATTTCATTCAAACATCTCTTCTCATTTTAACGACAAAATACAGGCAGCCCCATCGCGTAGGTAAAAATCAGCATGTTTTTTGTTAAAAAATTTTTAAACAAAAAATAAAACTGATTTTATATTCGAAAATGGAACTAAAAAGTAAAAAATAATATCTGGTTCATGTTTGGGAAGTCGAGCGGGTCAAGATTGGAAGACGTATTATTACCGATAAAAAACGAAAATCTATTTAATGTTTCAATCTTGACGCCGGCCGCCCGACTTCCAAATCATGAAAGATATTATTTTTTACTTTTTAGTTCTATTTCGATTTTGAAGTCGGTTTTTTTTGTTTAAATTTTTTTTATTTCATACATTTTAGTGAAAATTACATCGTCCAAGTAAACAATAACACAATTGATGAAGAAATCGGTGAACATGCATAAAAAAACATCGTGCGTGCCTTTGAAATTTGACGGTTTCCCTCGATTTACCCGAATTCCACCATCAGATCCTGTCTTGGTTCCAATGGGACCACATCGGAAGTGCACTCTATCGAATAAAAAAAGAATTTTGGAAATCGATCCACAATTGACGGAGACATCGGTGAACATACATTAAAAAACAAAAACAGTCGAACATAGAACCTCCTCTTTTTTTGAAGTTGGGTAAAAATGGTAGCAAACAATCCTAATATGGCCTTTACATTAAATCAAAAATTATAAGCGGCCGCCATTATCTGTGGACGCTGCGATATAAAAAATACTCTCGTGCCTTTGCTTACCATATCCTGTCCTTTAACTATTCTCTTTCTGTAATGCTGATTCCCGTTTAAATAAATAAAATAATACCGACGAAGTATTGGCAAATTTTATCCCATTAGAACATCCGGCACTTATTTGTGCGTTTAAATTTGATAATTTTATGTACTCGAAGAAAATTAGGTAATTATTAAAAATTTTATCTTCGAAGTAGTTAGTTAGGTAGTATATATTTGAATCTTTAATCCTGTAAATAATAATGTAATAGGTAGTATGATAGATCACAGAGGAATAGGTTTCGTCGCTATCTCTTGTAAGGTTGCAGTTTTGACTTTTGAAATTTAGTAATCGATTTCTGAAATAAACGTAATAATTACAGGAATTATTTTTCTATTTTGGTACAGTGATAAAGGTTGATTTTTATTTGCATGTGCCAGTGTGAACTTCCGGTACGAAAATTGCTAAATATAGACGTAATAATGCATCATCTAACTGAACCGTAGATTTATCCGAGTATTAGGTACAATTACTAACTATTAATACCTTCAGGAAGCAGTTTGCACAAATATAATAAATTGGTTTGATAAATATAAGAAGTGTGCGTGCGATACACAGTCTGTTTCTCATGCTATTTTAGGCGACAATAATATTAAATATCCCGATAATTTAAACTCTTTCCCTCTAACGATATCAGACTCAAATGTGTAGTTTTTATTGAACCGCTGAATTCTGTAATAGGGATGATTGCTAACTTTTTTTGTTCGTCTATCAGGTAATTTATCAATAAGTATTGGACACGTGTTTTTTCTTTATGAAACATCATGCAGTAGCACCCACTCCCAAACTTTGAGGCGCTATATCTTTGATATTTCTTTGTTGATTGACAAAAGAAAAACTAAATGTCCATTATTTTTTGATAATCTACTGTTAGAAATAAAATAAACGAAATAGTATTTTTGTACCACTTGCTCAAAAAAGTGACATTCTATGCCACAAAAAGCGAACATAACAATAGTCATTTTTAATCTGTTAAAAACAGGGTGGGAAAATTGTACTTAATTTCATTCATCCTCTAGGGGGAGAATGTGATTTAAATTTGGAATACTTACCGAAATTTATACTGAACTACATCTGTGTTTGTATTAAAGCATTATACATCTTTTTGAAAAAGGAAAACGCATTTATTGTGCAGTTATGATTATTAAATAAAATTACGAAAACCGACGAGGCCGTATTTAATTGGACCAATGTTTCGAATGTTAACTTTTACATTTAGTCATTATTTTTAATAAATGCTTGTCTCATATTATTTTTGTGTTAATTTTTTCGCAAATGGTACGAAAAGTAGAGTATTTTCCTCGGTGATAAAGCTGTCTTAGTCTTGGGTGAACTTAAATCCCTCGCTACACTCAGGACTCGTCTTACATCTCTCGCTTCGCTCGCGTGACTTAAGTTTTTAACACCCTCGCTACGCTCGGGAGTAAGCCTCGAGTCCTTCGTTACGCTCGCGATTTAAATCGTCACCCGCGACAGAAGACACTGCTTTATCCCCTTGGTTAATAATCTACTATTAGTCCATCTGTAGACTAAATAAAATTTATTTTACTGTACCCCGTCATCATCCTTATCGGTACATCCTATCTCACCTACATTTGAATGGTTAAAGTGAGAAATTCTGTTAATCATCTGAAAATGGCACTTAACATTAAGCATGAATTTATCAAATATGTCACTTGCCTTGGGAAAGTGTAAATAAATTATAATACAATACACGCACCCGACTGTTAACTATACTTTAGAGGGCAGTAAGCAAAGTTGTTTGATTGTACATACGAGAAATACAAAAAATATTAGATTGTATATTAATTTCAAAGGTTTCAAAAATTTTAACATTGCACAAGAATCACCAAATGTTTTAGCTATGGATGGTATATTTATATATGGATTTAGAGCAGCTTATTTATACTTATTTCATAGAACGCACATATACATATATTTATAAATAGTAGGATGTACGATATAGTATAAAAATTGCAACCAACCCTATACTCATTTATAGATGCTTTTGTACGACATTAACTTGTCGCTCCCTATACATAAATAAATATATAAACATCTTTTTGCTTTGCTATATATGTAAATTGAAATAAATTACTCATTTTAACAAACACTAGATCAGAGGGCTTACCTACTCTCAAGTACATTTTAATAAAATCGACATTCAAGTTAACTTCATTGGAAAATCATGCATCAGTTTTGTCATCATGGTAATTCTGAATATGTATACGACAAATCAGTATAATATATATATTTAATAATTTAGCGATTCACAGTCAAAACAATGTGATTGAATAAATCATTCCACCCAATCACAGTAGCTTACAGCTTCAAATATCAATTTTCCTCTTAATCAGACTTCTATTTTATGCAGAGACATTCATCCATACATCTTCATTGACTCTATTTTTCAAATATTATACTCACGAATCCATCGATCCTTAAAGGCCCCTTCATCATTTCAAAAATTAGTTCTTTACATATAGTACTCTAAGGAAGATCACATTTCCGATCATACAAAGAAAAAAACTGTTACATTACTACAACTCAGGTGTTTCAAAACTTTTTTGTATTCAACAAAATATGTGTTAATTATGAAATCAAGAGTTTTATCACATTACTATCACAATATAAATTAACAAAAATTAAAGGTATGTTACGCAACATTTCAGCTTCAGTTTTATGAATATCAAAAGGTGCACTCGGAGAAGACAATCAAGTTTAATGCTTTTCAATGACGTGTTGTCTTATTTTATTGCAATTATATATTGACAACATCAACTTAAAAATTCATTAATGTTTAATCAGTTTTCCTGTAATATATTATTTAAATTTTAAACATAACTAATTCCTTGTATTTTTGTACTTAGGTACAATAGTAATTCACGGTAATAACCAAAAAACTCTAAAGAATATTCAGAGAGCAAGCAAATATACCTTAAATTTTACAGCAGTCTCTCCTTTTCATATCCTAAAAAGATGATAAGAATATCCTGCTGTCGAACTTACAATGTTAAATATAAATAGCCATGTAAATATGCAAGCAATACACAGGTTCCATGTGCAGATAACATACCATACACATAATGTGAATTGAACTTTGTTACTCCTGGTAATGACGATGAAAGCAACATATTTCTTTTTTATCAAAAAGTTTATATATACAAACTAAAAGTATTCCCTCCTTTCTTTCAAATAAAGTAAAGGTAACATAAACAATAAAATATTTAATAAGTTTAGGCCAAAGTAAGGAAATAATCTATGATTACTATACAATTTCAGGATGACTGCATGATAGATTTACAAAAAAAATTACATTCTTACAAATCTTGGTTACACACACCCAAACACAGGGCTGAAAGATTTTGTTCTCAATCATATCTCAACCCAAGCAGAGTTGGGAGAAGGCTATCTTGGTTCAGTCACACTTAATCAAAGATAATTTACTTACTACCAAAATACTTTCAGATTAGTACCATTCAATTTGTTAAAACTTTGCACTAAATTCCTACAAATAAATCTAAATAACTTTTGTTTAAGATTCCAATACCTAATATTTTAAAGATTTTGTTGACTGTAACCATAATATGACAATAAAAAAATATAATTTTACGTAATAAATACATTATAATATTAATGGTCTAATATGCTGTGTGTGTGTATGTGTGTGTGAGCGCAATAACGGCAATAATCAAATGTAATTGTAACACCAAAAAGTCGTATATCTTAAAATAATGACAAATGTTAAATTAACATTTTATAAATGATTATGAAAGATAAGAAGTAAATGACCTACTTGTTTATATTTCTGGAACATGTTGAATCAATATGTAATAAAGCAACATGAAAGTTCATTATATCAACTCTAAATTTCAACAACAATTACAAATATTTTAACCACATAACTGATTTGTATGAAAAGATTCAAAAGACATTCATTTATGTTGTTGCATACAACTCATTCAGAATCATAACACAATATCCACTTACACTGCTGATCTATTCACAGAATAGAAGATAAACAAAGTGTTTTCAGAAAAACTCCTAATAATAAAGTATAAAGCTTACGCTACTACTCTACTCTCCTAGCCATTTGGTTCCTTCAAACTTACCAATATACTAAATGCACTTGTTCATTGCTGCTGTTTCTTCTCTGGTTCCTTCACCAAATGAGCATTCACAGGATATTTCAATGTCGTTTTTAAATTGTCATTGTGTTCTTCTAAGGAATTAACTGCATAATGTAATACAAGCTCATTCAAAGTTCTGAAATGGAATAATAAAAATAATTAGGGAACATTAAATATTGTTTACATAAATTAAAAAAAATATTAAATTAATAAATGAAAATTCAGCCATTTTTGAGCACTATTCATGAAATCAAGCCCTAAGCTGAGCGTAGGTTTTCTATCGTTGGGAAAATAGTATTGTTGTCTTGTTTTCGCAAGGCCCCTTGCTTGTGACATAGTTTTCCTTAAGTAATTTACAAAGTTTTAAACTTTCCACATCTTCCATAAACTGTATAGTATTTTTTGATATGAAGCTTGTTCTTTCTGTCCTACTTTTAAGTTATTACAAGAAGTCTGATAATTTATGAAAGCAATGTTTTGGCTGATATGAATATGATTACTTCACAAATGGGCTTTAATTTTTTACATGAGAATCAAATCAAATGTAATCAAAACAATGTGTCCTCATTATAAGATAGAAAAGAAAGTATAAACTTACTTATAAACATTATAAGGTTCTGCAAAACCATAACCTCGTTCAGTCTTAAAGATTATGCAATGATACACCATTTTATTGCAACAAATTGACAAAGCATGTTGACCAGTTGAGTTAGGTCGAATTAAGAAGGTGCCTTGAGGTTTTCCTTCAAGGAGCCTCTCAGCCATATCTCGATCACAGTTTTCTACTTTCCAACTTATTGATTCACGATGGGCATATAATTCTTCTAGCTTGTCAGTGTTATCATCTTCCAGAGCCTGAAGATATTCATCAGTCTTTCCACGCCTCTTTAACCATCTAAAATGTATTATAAATTCATTTTAAAGGAAGATATAATCCATAAAAATCTATATTGTTTGACATAATAAAAAAATACTGACTGAATTAAGAGCATAAAATTTTATAACAGTTCTTTGTATGAAAGATTCTAAAGTAAAATCCCACAGCATTGCTCATAAAAGTATTAAAAAATTAAATGGTGTCTTGTAATATTAAGTTTAAAAAAAAATGGCAGTTACTTACACTTTGTTTCGTTCTTTTGTACTATATAAATTCATAACTTCGGATTTAAGTTTGGTGGTTTCTCTTTCAAGCTGTAAGCTATATTTAACTGCTTCCCTTAACAAGTTATTGAGTTGTATTTTAGCTTGTTTTAAACTATTTAACCGGAAGATTAGTTGATTGTAATTCTCAGTGAGACCATTCTTTTCGTGTGGTTGAGCTTCAGATATCATCTTCTCTTGTAACTTTAAATGTTCTTCACACTTTTTTATTGTCTCTCTAAAGGCATCCAAAGCTTGTCTCTTACATTTTACCTCTTCTCTAAGCCTCATATACTTGTAAGATCGTTCACCAAAATTTCTGGTCTTCAATACATATTCTTTGTGAATTTCTTTATATCTTTCCTCTAAAGTCTCATCATTTTCACCTCCATCATTTTCTTGGTGCCGTGATAGCGGGTACATAAGTTTGATATCCAAGCTGTTATTGCAATGTCCCAATGAATACTCCCTGTAGAATTCAACCAAAGCCACCACAGAGGTGAATTCAAAGGGTTCACAGAAGCCATAGCGGCCATCTTGATTGTATATCTTTATGAGCTTATTTGTGCCACCCTTCCTGACAGTCAGTGTATATCCACTATCTTTATTTGAGGCATTACGGACTAGAAATGTACCATCACATGTTTCCCTAAGTTTCTCATATGCTTCATCTCTGGAATTGAAATTTAATACATTTAAAGAATCAGTTTAATGACTTAGGGGAGTAATATGAAAAGCTGGTTTCATAACACTTGACAGTAATTTAATGAAAAAATGCTACTAATGTAGAATTTCTACATAAGTAGTATTTTAAACTACAACTAAAGAAGGAATTTGCATTTTATATGATGAAATAGGTACATGAACTCATGAAGATTTCATCTGTAATCATGACATTTCAACATGCCATACAAAAATATTTTAATATATGTAGATTTGTTGTCAAAAAGAAAGGAAAAAGTATATTTTGTTATTGTTTTTACCAGTAATTTCGCTTATTCAGTATTTTCTGATAAGCCACATGTTTTTTCATACAGCTTACCAAAGATATATTTAAAACGTAATATCAGTTGAAATTTCAGGGCCCCAAAATCTAGGTTTTAATTTGATTTAATATAGTGCATTAGTTCACAAATTATAACATGACAAAAAACCTTTCGTATAACGTTTAATTTATTGGGAAATATTGCCTCAGCACTTACCGGGTAATATCGCCCCAGAACCATTCTGCATTTTCTAAGCTTTCGTCAGCTGATTGTTGAGGTACTCCTATTTCGACCATTATTATTTCATTGTCAACCTGTTCAGAGACTATTTATTGTACTGATCTCCTCGAATATAATGTTTAGTAAAAATCGCGAAACTCAAGTTATCAGCCAAGGTTGCACAAACCAAAAGCGGCTATTTCCGCATTTGAGGTTAAAGCACTTGAAATCTAAATTATTACACTTCATACATAATAACCGATGGATTTAAACAGTAAATTACACATCCTTTATCTCACAATTCACACAGTTACACATCTCTACACTGCATTTTTTTACCACCACTACCTATATGTTTAATATCTAGATCACAAAGGAAATGGGCGAGTTTGTAGATAGTTGCTATGGCACTTTAAACACCAGAATTCTTGACGAAACATACTAAAAACGTAAATAAAACTTGATCACACTTTTTATCAGTAGTTCTGATGATTAAATTACAAAATCTTCTTCTTTTCTTTATTAAAACATGACTTAATTTGAAGCATTGCAATACGAAGCACGTCCGCCATGGATTTAGGCAAAGAGCAGTGTTGCCAGAGCCTGCACGGCAAAAGTTGTCAATGTTCACCACGTGCGCTGAAAACAAGTCCCAATCAAGAAGTGCTTGAATACCACATAAGCACTTCTTGGTTCAGTCAAGCGCGGACCGTTGAAAAGTCAAGATGCCGCAGAGCTCCGTGAAAAAATACTAAAACAATACTCATAGCACGTAAAGTGAAGTTTTTTCTACAGTTATTAAATCAATGTTTGTTAATTAAAAGCAATTTTTTGATGTGTAACATCATTCCTCTCGCTTTCCTGCAATTTGTGAGAGTGATTTCGTGAAATGGGACGGAAGTGTGTAACAAGAAGTCGTGAAAGCGCGCGCTATTTGATTTTAGAATATAATGTTTAAATGGCTTTTTTTCTCTCTAAATGGCTTCGCACGGCTTGTGCATTAAGCCAATGTCAAGTTTTAAAATGTTTACAAATACTCGTGGTTAAAGTAATAAATCAAGTCAAAGTAAGTGGCGGTCAAGTCAATCCCCCTTTCCCTATGTTTCAGTAAAAGTGTGGGGATTTACTAGAAGCTCCCCGCGGGCTTCTTGAGGGAATGTCGAAAGACACTTTCCGCTATTTTGTTTCACCTGCCAACACTTGTGCATATTCCCGAACACTTAGTGATTAAAAATCCATCATTATTAGACAGTAACACAATTTTTAACAAGAAAAACAAAACTGCTAAAGTGATACCCCCCAAAAAGCCGATTCTTTAAATGATGTTCCTTTTGTAGTGGGTTTCATTTCTTTTTTTACTATTATAAGGTGAGGTTTCAAATGTTACACATCATACGCGACTACTGCACTGTAAAGCTCGCTCGTTTTTTTCTAATGGAGGCCATACACATTAGGTTTTGCATGATGGTTTTAGCCGTACATGCATAACCATCATGCAAAACCTAGTGTGTATGTGATAAAACTGTACAGTTATCGGTGCATGTACATGCAACCGAACAAATATCAAAATTGATATTTTATGCCGCTCGGTTATGCATGCGCGCGAGCATAACCGAGCGTGTGTGGCGTCCAGCGAGCTTGCCTGTCACAGTTCTCAGTTCTTAATTGTTGCGACGGCGGAATCGAAAATGGCTAGTCGCAAGCGCAATGCAACATTAGAAGAATTTATAGAAAGTTATAAGTCGGAACCTTACCTTTGGCATAAAGTGCAAAGAATACCAGAGATTGATAACTAAGGTCAAGGAATTAGTGCCCACAGCTACGAAAGAAGATGTGATTAAAAAAAATATTCCATTCACAGTACTTAATAGGCGTTCTACATACACCGTCACGTAGGTTTAATGGTCTAAGAGCTCAACTGAGAGTAATGGCAAAACTGTACATGCAAACCCTAACGTGTATGTGCAATATGAAACTCGGTTATGCATGCACGGCTAAAACCATCAAGCAAAACCTAATGTGTATGGCCTCCATAAAACTTACTTGCGTGGTCGGTATATAGCCGTCTCTTTTCCTCGCGGTCCGTAACTGATATTTTGCTAACAGCGCATTCAGAATTGCGCGTAGAGTCAATGATATAAGGTATATATTCTTCCGCATATTGGTACCGAGGAGATTTCCCTAGTGGCTGTTTGCGGAACTAACGTATGACAGATACTTTCGGCCTATGTGTAATACAAAGAGCCGGTTTATTGTTGTTTTAAATTATTTATACAAAATTTTGCCAAGATTTCACTGTTAGACATCTACGAAGTGGTAAAAAATACTAAACGACCACTCCGTGAGGGTGAACAGTATTTTAAAAGTGGAATCTTAATGTGTGTTGGTGTCAAAGAACGAAAATCTGAAAAAGAGTGTCTGGGCTTAGCTGCACAAACTTCTGGTGTACTTGATTATCAATTTAGAGTCCAGTTCTGTAGAACTATGTTGCAGAAAGAGGAAGATCCCGGATACTTTAATAAAATCTTGCGGACCGACGAGTCAAGATTTGAGCGTACTGGAGTTTTCAATATCCACAATTTACCCATTTGGGCCGTTGAAAATCCCCATGCCGCCAGACAATCATTTTACTAAAAAACTATTAAAAAAAAATCCATGTAAATTTTCGAAATGGTGTTACTTTTATTAAGAAAAGTAAAAAAAAATAATATTTTTTTCTAAAAAACTACCAGTGCATAAGTGTGACACTTTGTTTAATAATGTGGTTAACAGAAGCCTTTTCAAGAACAAAATTGCGTAGTCGCAACCAACAAAACTGTGAAGTTTTTACTTTTGGGCCCTGCCTGGAAGTACAGTACCTATATCCCGACGGGGCGCCATGTGATTACGCGACACAAGTTTAGACCAGACCTACCCCAACAGGTGGATCGGACGACGAGGGCCAATTGCCTGGCCACCACGCACGTCTGACCACAACCCTATTGATATTTTTATCTGGGGCTACTTTAAAGAAATTGCTTACCCCAGAGAAGCTTCGAGTGAAGAATAACTGAGAGCAAAAATTCGCGAAGCTGAAACCACTGAAAAATAACCGTGAAGCTTTAAGGCACTTAAAACATATTTTTTTGCGCAGATGTAGATTGTGTATTTCTGTAGGCGGGCGAAAGTTTTAAAATTTGCTTTAATTAAATGTATTTTGTTAACAATTAACTGCGTTTTACTCAAATCCATCATAACTCATAGAAAGTCAAAGATTTAAATAAAAGAAAATAATTATTTTTTTCCTTTGAAAATGCCTTAATTTACTTTGAAGGTCAGTTACAGAAAATAAACCCCCATTAACCCTATCTTTATTTGGCCTTGTTTTAAAGTTTAATGTTTCAGGAAGTTTCTAAAAGCACTTTGAACTCCAAATCCCCCCATTTACATTTTTTTTGATACTTTGAAAATTTCTGTGTACTGCTCAAATCGTAATTTTGAACTTTCGAACAAATTCTAAGTGAATCCTGCAATGCCTAGATAAACCATAAGTTTTAGGGTGCTAGGTTAGACTATGTTAGTCAGTTATCTCAAAAAAAAAACTGAACCAGAAACGTCCAACAGAATAAGAAAAAAGTTAGGTGAAAATTACGAAAAAAATCATTAAAAAAATTATAACTCGAAAACTACGCAAAATCGTAGAACATACATGGGGGTGATTTGGATACTCCTCATCATAAAGTACACACATCAAAAGTGTCTAGGGTTCTCCAGTGTCGTATACGTCTTGTATCCGGTCTCATACCAAAACGAGACTCATCAGAAAAGCACACGAAACGCCATTGTTCTTCTGCCCAATTTCTGTGTTCAAGAGCCCATTGATATCGAATCCTACGATTGTGCATTGCTATAGGTGGTACCCGTAGCGGTCTTCGGGAATGAAGGTTCACTTCATGCAAGCGGTTTCTGACTGTTTGGTCGCTAATTAAGTTCCCTGAAGAGTGATGAAGCCTCACGGCTAACATCATGGCGGTTATTGTTGGAGCTCTTCGAGTTAAGATTTGAATGTATCGGTCTTGTCTCCGTGTGGTGCAGCGATACCGTCCTCCATGGCGCTCAGCCACGGTACCAGTGCTTCGGTATCGTGTCCAAAGTCGACTGATAACACTCTGACTTGTATTCAGAGCTAAAGCTACAGTACGTTGCCGGGAACCAGCTTCTATCATTCCCACGGCTCTGAGCATTTCTTCCCTGCTTAAATGACGTCGCCGCTCCATAATAACGTTGGTTTTAATCAGTAGTAGGGAAACAGTAGCACTAATAATGTCTTCAATGCGTTGTATGTTTTTATAGGGAAAATATTGACAGCTGATTTTCATCTTTTACTCGAATTTGATTCACAGTTCCTGATTCAAATTATGAAATGCACCAAAAAGGATCCATATAAATTTATAAAATCATAAATTTATTACAAAGCCACATCTCAATCTCAAGAAATCCGCATAAAAATGCTTGATCCCTAGACACTTTTGATGTGTGTATATAAATTTTGCGCTTGAACGTCAACTCCCCGGCCACCCTGTATAGTTACAATAAATTTTATATTTAGTATATAGGAAGCGGCATTAGATAGGTACCATATTACTGTTACAAAAACTGACTCATACCCATCAAATAAAAAATTACAAGAAACACTTTATTGCGATTCAACTAAGAATAGGATCGACTGGGCGCCATTTTGTGATGTCAAAGCTAGATAGGTAGAGTGAGCTATAAAAGTTTTTCTTCGATAAAACTTATTTACTAAGATTAAGTGAGAAAAAACATCAGGTTTTTTTTAAATAAAACTTATTTACTAAGATTAAGTGAGAAAAAACATCAGATTTTATCAATAAAATTTATTTACTAATATTGAGAAAAAAACACCGATTTTTAATTAAATTTATGACTGTGTGAGTAAAAATATTAATCGGAATCTAGCTCTTCAATTTCGCTCAGCTCTGCATAACTACCGGAGTTGTCATCGTCGTCATGTTTGTTTACAAATGTTTGTTTTTTGAAGTTATACTTCTTTAGGCGCGTTATGAAAAAATGATGGGAGTGAAATTTTAAGATGCGCGCGAATCACTGTAACACAAAATTTTAACAGCATGATCATGATGATGTCGCTAAAGCGACCAACTTCATGCGTTACTTTTGTGTTTACCGCACATTAAGAAAATCTACCAACAAAATAGAAATAGAATCTCTATTTAGTGGGTGCTAACGACTGCATTGTGAAGGCCTATCAAAAGTATTTATTAATCTGGAACAACGGAACCAAAGCGCGATTCAGGAGACTACAGCGCCATCTCTTGACCATTAACCACATCTTTATTTTTTGTAATAAAGTAACAGTTATAGGTATTCATATTTATAATATTTATCCACATGTTTCTAGTTTGTATATTCGGAATACGTGTTTGAGTTTCATACAAGTGCAAATCACATATGTTCTAATAAATTATATTCAGTAGCGATTTTAATTGAATATTTTGATTATTTATTTATTTTTTCAAATTAAAACTGAACTTTATTGACTGTGTCCTTTTCCAGACTTTTTATTAATTTATTGTAATTAATTATTTGCATGCAATTAAAAACTAATTTTAAACGATGCC